AGGAGGGGCCTTGACTTGCTTTGGGGTCCCCCAGGAGGAGCAGCTTTCTGTATCGCTGGCTGCTCTGATCCCTAATGTGTTTTAGGGACAGAATACAGAGTTCCTGGTGACATTACTAGAAATACATAGATGTCCTCTCAAATTTTGAATTGGCAAGAAACGGGCAATGGGTAGAGTGGTGGGCTTCTCCATTCAGCTGCTTCTCCATATGTTCCACTGCCTTCACGCCTACTGCTGCAGCCCCCGGGGAGGGAGGAACCAGCCCTGGCTTTGGAACGGGACAGACCTCCTGTAGCATCTGGCTTCTGCCACTGTCTAATTGTGTGGCTTTGGAAAAGTCACATATCTCTCTTACTTCATTAATAAGATAGAAATACTCTTCAAAAGGTGGTTCTGAAAATTCAAGGGAATAGCCTCAGAAAGTGTCTGACAGCCTTTGGGGCTGGAGGAGGAAGGAATGTATTTGTCACCACACCCACTGATACTTTTTGCATTTTGTCCCACGTGACCTGTTTCCTTCAAAAATTAACTAGACCAAACAATGGAATATTATTTGGCCATAACAAGGAATGAAACATTGACACACACTACAACATGGCTGAATGTTGACGATATTAAGCTGAGGGAAAGAAGTCGATCACAAAAGTCCACGTGGTATATGATTCTATTTATAGGAAATGTCCAAAGTAGGCAAATGCATGTAGACAGAAGGCGGATGAGTAAGGCCTGTGGCAGGGTGGGGCAGGGGTGGGGAGGTTAAGAGAAATGAGAGCTAAACAGTATTTACTGGTTTTTTAAAAAATTTTTTCTGAAGTTCTCTTTTGAGGTGAAGAAAATATTCTAAAACTGACTGTGGCGACAGTTGCACATATTTATCTGTGAATATACAAAAAGCCATAGAATCACACACTTTAAAGGGGTGAATTATATTTCAATAAAGCTGTTTTGAAGACATTAACTAGATAATTAATTACAAAGTGGAACACCTGTCATACACAAGGCCCTTCGTAATTGTCTGTCAGCATGAATCAATTTACTTCCTTCCTTTCGGCAGTTTAACTAACGTCTCCCCGTTTCTCATTGATGAAAGCCAGCAATGAAGGTACAAACCAGGTCACCTGGGCCCCGTGCTTCTGCCTTTGAAGGCTGGTAGACGGATTCTGATGTACAGGGAGGCCTCCTTGGAAATGAAAGAAGATCTGCTTCAGGCTTGAATACCCTCTCCCAGTGCCCTGCCCAGGATGGGTCTGGAATTGAGGCTGGTTAGTGTTATGTTGCTTTCAGGCCTCACCCCTTCCAGCCTTTCAGTGTCACTCTTTACAGAGGGGTGGAGGCCACCATCCTGAGCCTGCCAACCTAATGGACCCGAGTGTCATTTCTTCTCTGATGCCTTTGGTCTTCAAGGAGGCAGAAACTGGCCCAGAAGCCCTCCTTTCTCTTTATATCCCTGGGAGCCATGCTGAGCAGTGTCCGGGTAGCAGGCCCCTGCTCCTGCCTCTGCTGGTAGATATCCTCAGGGGTCCCAGCCCCCGGCAGAAGCAGGGATGGCCCCATCTGCAGGCTCCCCCCGTCTCTTTTTATTGCTTTTGTGTCACATATATTCCCTCTAGCCATATGATCTCTTTGCTGTTCCTCTAGCCCATCAGGCAGCACCCCTACATCAGGGCCTCGACACTGGCTGTGTCCGCCGCTAGAAGGTTCTTCTTCCCTGGGAAACTGCGTGGTCTCTTGCTTCACTTGCTCCATGTCTTTGCTCAGATGTCACCTTCCCAGTGAAGCTTTCAGGACCACCCTTTTAAAAGGCTAACTCTCCCTCGCTGCCCTACTTTATTTTCCTCCATCACACTTATCATCACGTAAACTGCTAGATATTTTGCTTGCTGCTTGGTGTGCTGTCTGCTTTCCTCTGGTAAAAGACGAGTGCCATGAAGGTGGTGGTTTTGTACGCCAGCACCTAAGATAGAGTCAGGTTTACTGTAGGTGCTCATCACATAGCTGTGAATAAATGAATGGATGAATGAGTGAGTGAATGAATGGTGGCATCCCATTGGAAGTCAGAGAGGCAGGTTTCTCCCTATCCTTTTATAAAGCACAGAAAGGAAGCAAACATGAATTCTGAACACAGGGCTCCCAAGCAGAACGTGCTGATGGGAGTCCCTTGTGGGAGCAGCGCAGAGAGCCTGGCACAAGATGGTCGAGAATGGCTGTCCAGCTCTGTCAATCCAGCCTGCTGTCTGTGAGAAGGAAAGTGCTAGCATAAGAGTCGGGGAATCTGCTCAACTTGGGCCATCCTCTTGAGTGTGTATCATTACCATGGCTCTTACGTCAGAGATGGCTGCATTACAGAGAAGCCCAGTTGTCTTAAAAGCGCAATATTTTCTGGTGCAGCCAATATGAAAACAGTCTGGTGGTTCCTCAAAAAATTAAACATAGACTTCCCAAAAGAGCCAGCATTCCCACTTCTGGGTATATACGCAAAATAATTGAAGGCAGGGTCTTAAGAGATATTGGTATATTCATGTTCACAGCAGCATTTCTCACAATAGCCGAGAGGTAAAGCAACCCAGGGTCCATTGATGAATGGATAAACACATGTGGTACGTTATTCAGCATTAAAAAGGAAGGAAATTCTGACACAGGCTACAATATAGATGAACCTTGAGGACATTATGCGAAGTGAGATAAGCCAGTCACAATGAGACTGCATTATTACACTCATACGAGGCCCCTAGAGGAACCAAATCCGTAGAATGTAGGATGGTGGTCTCCAGAGGCTGGAGGAGGGGGATGGGGAGTTAGAGTTTCAGTTTTTGGAAGATGAGAAAGTCCTGCAGATGGCTGGTGGTGATGGTGGCACAACAATGTGCGTGTACTTAATGCCACAGAACTCTACACTTAAAAATGGTTACAATGGTAAGTTTTATGTTATGCATGTTATTTTACCACAAATTTTTAAAAGTGTGATATTTTCACAGCCTCGCTATAGGAAAATAACTTTAAAAGGAGAAATGTAAGCATTTGGTAGGGATCGGCACTGTGCTACAAGGGTCATACTTTCTTATTACTGCTTCCGAATGTGACAGCGTCGGCCGCACAGCCTTTATCTCGGGGAACACACTTCCCTCCTAGCTGTACAAAGGCCACATGGCCGAACTAAAGATGGAGCCTCGTTCCCTCCCTTCCTGTGCCTCCTGCATCTCTGCCTGTGCACTGACACAGCCTGTGGTCTCCGCTCCTCAGGATGCGCGGGCAACCTTGGGCCCCTTCCAGCCCTCCTGTCTGCTGCCCACCTGCCAGGACTACTGGACCTACCCAGGCTCCCTCACCACTCCTCCACTCACCGAGTCGGTCACCTGGGTCATCCAGAAAAAGCCCATTGAAGTGGCTGCAAACCAGGTGAGCTGGTCCTGAAGCTGGGGTAGTGGGACTGTGTGGAAGGAATTCCTCTTGTTTGGCAGTGTCGCTGAGATATTGTGAGCAAACATCATGGAGTTTTACTCTTTGGTGCATTTTAGATGTTCTTGCGCAAGATGAATGTTTCAATAGGAATAGGAGCCCGTTGAGATTGAGCAGAGGTTTCTGAAATCACAATTCTTCTTCTGACCTTGAGCTATTAGTGTGTGAGAGAGACAGAGAGAAATGGATGTGGGGGGAGGAAGAGAGGACTAATATGGGGGCAGGAAACAGTTATATTTGGGCACTATCTAATCTTTAGTGGTTTAGAGTTCAGAAGTGGCAAGTATCCCTGATGGCTAATGGTTGAACTCTGTGTGTCAGTCCTTACTCTTCAGTCTGTGTCAGGATAAAGAACAGAAATGCCATTATAATGAAAACATTATAATCGGTCCTTGCCCATAATGGGCCCTCAGTAAGTATTTGTTAGTGAATAAATTAACCCAAAAAAGGATGTCATAGACAGATGCTGGAAAGCAATTAAACAAGAAGGATCGTTGAGGGAGAAGATATTTTAGTTCATTCCACTTCTTTGAATTCTAGAACAGTAAAATATTGGAATTGCAGAGGATTTTCTCACATGCTATATTAAGAAGTTATGGAACTATATATGTTGAGAGAAAATCCCAGAAGGATTTTATTAGTCAGCTATTGATGCAATAATGCTATGTAACAAGTCACCCCAAACTCAATGGCTTAAAACAAGCACTTATTTTTTCTGCTCGTGGGTTTATGGGTTGGCTGGGAGGCTTTATTTTAGTCTGTGGATGGCTGGGCTTCATAGAACGTGGTTGAGGGTTGGGTCAGGCCCAGTGTCTCTCATGCTCCTTGGACCAGTAGCTACCAAGGGCTGGTTCTCATGGTAAATGATAAAAATGCGAAAGACAAGCCAAGCCGTACATTTAAGGCTTCAGCTTGCATCACACCCAGTTACATTCTGTTGACCAAAGCATGTCACAATGGGAAGACCAAAGTCAGTGGGGTAGGGGGACGTGAGCGAACATTTAGCAAACAATACCCTAATCTATCACATAGATACACCAAAAAGTTACTACTAATTTTCCCAGGGTTATAGCTCTGCAGTAGTTTTTTGTTTTGTTTTGTTTTTCTATGATTTTTATTGGGGAATTGGGGGGATGGGAACAGTGCTGGGGAATTGGGGGAAGGGGAACAGACAAGATGCTGTCGTTTTGTTCTTCAGTCTAGTTGTGGAGGATGTTGCTTCACTGGCCCAAGTTGGCACCATCATTGTGCTCTTCCCAGGTGAGGCA